CTTTTGTTGTTGTTGTTGAAGTTGCTAATTTTCATCTTGTTGGATTAATAAAACACTTCCCTGTTTAATATAGATTTATAGGAGTCAGTGGACTAGGCATGAGGGAGATGCCTTAGGATATGTTTGCATACATTTGGCAGGATTTTTTGTTTTTAAGAGGAAAGGAAAAAATCTCTTGAGACCTTTGTTTTCTAAGGAACAATATTACAAAATTCATAGTTAAGTTACACAATATAATTTGGCTAAAGAAAGAAGGGATTGATTATTCTGGCAGCTGACTTAAACTGGCATGTTATCTCAACTTGGTTTTTAATATTAAACGATACCCCTTTTCTCCTTTAGAAAAGTTGGGGAAAAAGTCCAAAAGTTTCTCACCAACATTTAAGTAGTGGGTATTTTGGATGAATCTATATTTGTTTTTCTATTTTCTCACTTTTAATTATGCAGGACAAAGGATAGCATTGAAGAGGTGCAGTGGTGATTAAAAGAGAGAAAAAAAAAGGAAAAAAGCAGGGAAGAAGGTGAAATTCAATGATCTGAAGTTATCTGAAACGGGGAGAACTCTCAGCAAAATATATCAAATAGATGATGAGAGGCTTCTTCGTGTGCTGTGCATGTCAAGTTTCTTCACATCCCTGTGCTGTGTCAGTAACCAGCATGCTGGTTTCTGTTTTGCTTCATCAGATAATTTTGTGTTACTTTGAACAAAAGTTAAAAGATTAACTTTCAGTAATGCTTTCAGTTATTTAAAGCACAAAGAAAATACGTTAAAAAATTGTTACTATAAAACAAAATGAGGATGAATTTGCTAACTCCCATGACCAGCTTTTCCAGGAAGCAGCTACTGTAGCCTGGCTACAGTACCCCTGCACCCTGCCTAGCCTTAGATTCAAAGGAAACATTTTGCACTTTCTGCCAAACTTAGTTTGGCTTTTAAAAATAATTAGTGACAGATTCAAAGTAGTAAAAGGCCAGCATCATCTTTTTTCCCTTTCTTGTTTCCTTTAATAAGCTATGCTTAATTCTGAATGTTAGGATATAGCTTAGCAGCTACTACCTCAATCAAAACTGCATCTGATAGACAACAACACCCAAGTTGTCAAGCATATCCAAATGTTAACTTCAACCAAAATACTTGGTACATTAAACAATACAGGATATCTGTTGTGGCCCTGTGGAGCAAATTTCCTGTTTTTAGATGTGCTTTGAAACTCTCGCAGGTATTTTTGTATACTGTATTGGAAAGCTGATGATGTGTGTGAGTGTGCAGACACGCACCTGTCCGTGTGTGTGTTCACCATTTCTCAGAAAGGTCAGCCAGGAATAGTGTCATTACCAGGGAAATTCAAGACATGTCTGGACCTACAGTTATTTCGCTGTTTTTTTGGCCACTGAAGCCTGATCAGCTGATGCTGAGGTGAAGCTACTGCTGTCCATTGCTTAGTGTTGCTGACTTGTTTCCTTACTGCCTTTTTGAGCAAAGTATTTGTGCTAGTTGCCAACTGCTGTCTCCTCTCCCCCTGCTTTAGCTTGACCCAGTGCACGCATTCGCATACGTGTGCGCATGTGCACACACATATCTTGTGGATATTTATAAACTGGCCAGGTGAATGGAAAAACCAGTCAGCCAATGCATCACAAGCAGCAGACTTGAGTCTGAATCATTGTCTGCAACTAACTTTCTAGCTGGCTTCAGAATGAAATGGAAAAAAATAGAGTAATCCATAGCTGCTCTTAAAATATTCCTAATGGATTAGACTGATTAGCTAGAAATGTTGTCAATGAGCCATTTGCAAAGTGCATGACTTCTTTTTTTCATATATGATTAAACTTGGATGGCTGTCGATGTGTCCATTCCTTCCTTCCCTCCAAGCAGAAGAATTGTTTATGTAGTTGCAAACAAGGGAGCACACAGAAAAGTCCAGTGATTCATTCATCCAATTTCCATATTTGAGTAAGCAGTGAGTTCAGTCATCTTAGTCTGCAGTGATTTTTCTGAATTACACCAACAACTGAAAAAAGGAAATGAGAAGATGAAAAAGAGATGAAAAAAGGAACTAAGCATCTTATAATCTTATTTCCCAACTAACTTGTCATGGATGAAGTCTTCTTTTCGCTATTTCAGGACACTTAATGTTATTTAATTTTCTTTTGAGAACAGTATGTGGGATATGAAAACCACTTTGAAATCTCTTTTAAAAAGTCTTGCTTTTGCCATGTCAGGATAAGATGGTGTGAGCATCACTGGCTTATTTTTAATCAGGCTTGAAAAGTCATGCTGTTCGGAGCAAAGTTACTGACCTCCTTTACCTCTCTTAATCCCTGGAAATAACTCACATGCTATTCCTTCCCTCTTCCATGACAGCTACCTCTTCTCTAATGCACATTCTTTTCTTTTAAGTCATTCTCTAAGACTGTGGAAACATAAGAACCTTGAGTATCTCCCAGTGCTTAGTGAACACTAAACAAGCTTTGCAATGCATATTTGTATAATAAATGTTTGACTTGCCAAATAGGTGAAATGAGATAGAGAGCTTAGATGAGTTTCCCAAAGTTATATGTTGCAGAAATTCATTTGTATATACGAATGTAAGCGTTCTCAATGCCACCCCTTTATTTTCATTCGAAATACGTGTGTGCCTGCATATTTAGACCGGAACAATAGAGATGTCATTTGCAGATGTATTGTTTGAGAATTTGTTGAAGGATCACAAGGACATTTGTATGGACTATTCCTCTGAAGTGCACCAGAGAAGGTCTTTGTTGCCGGGCAGAAATTTGAAAGCATGGTACCTATTCTTAGGGCTATGGTAATATCATCCAGATTCCTCTTTGTGTCTGAAATCTCTTCCCGCTCCTGCAGTCAGCTTTGAGATATGTTGGTCTGATATATGTAAACATTTCCAAATTGGATATTTACAGAACGTAGTAATACAGATGATTTATTCCTGCCCGTGTTTTGTTATTTGATGTATTTGAAGTTACTTTATTTGCATTGTGTGAATCATGCCACTTTGTCCTGTAGTACAAGAATTATGGCAACAAATGTAGAGCAGGCAGGCTTGCATGTGTCTTCTAAATGTGCTCTGAGAGATTGCTAGATGCTAAAAACAGGGAGACCTCATGGGCTGAAGAAAATATGGTTAACTGTCTTGGCTTGGTTTCCTCTGCATGAATAGGAAAAGTATTTGGTGGAGAGTTGTGCTCTGTTGCCTTACTGTGTTGTGGCTGGTACCCCATGTTTTCTTAGGAGACACTAGAAAGGTGTGACATATTAGCAGTGATAACCTGCTACAGCTGCTGATCTTTCACATTTCACAGGCATTTACTGCTGCATGCCAGCAAGGTAAGCAACCTGGCTGAGCATTTCTCTGCTGTCCATATACTTAGAAAAGTAACTTACAGCTATTAACCACAGCTGTAGGCATATTTAAGGTTCTACAGATTAACCCAATACTGACTTGCAGAACAGGCTGTCGTTGCTAAAGTCATAAGTTCCTTTAACTTCTTGAATCTTCTTTGTTTTGACACTTTGATTTGAAGTAATAGGCTAAATGTGAGAGCTGAGGAAATGGTATGCTGAGGAGAGGTGGCTTTTAGGTATCAGTGCAATAACTTTAAAGGTGAGCATGTTTCTTTGTCTCTTATATTTACATTGTCCATCTTTTCTCATGTTGCTTCAGCATATGGAAATAATGAACTATAAATTAAGAGAAAAATGAATGTATAAAACCTGATCTGTATTCAACTGTATTATTTTTAAGCTGCGGAAAATCATATTCAATTTGCCTACACATTTATTGTCCATGTTGGGGAAAATGATCAGAGTATTGAATTTTGAGAGACAAGAAAAACAATTCTTGAGAGATTGAGACACCCATCATTTCACATGACTGAATCTTTGTATATTATTGTGTCCATTAAGTACTTTAAATTATGACAACTGTCAAAGCACTCTCTCTGCAATTATAGTAGCCCATGGATAAAGATAAGTCCTCTGTGAATTAAACAATACTTGCTGTGGGATTGAGAAGAGAATTAATTAATTATTACGCTGTTGTAAGCAGTGATCTGTGTTTCATAGAAAGTGATCACGTAGATCATTAGTTACTAAGAATAAGCTAAGTGTGTAGGATTGTATTTCAGGAGACAACTCTTTGTAGAATTTCTCATATCATAACCATTTTTCCAGAGGTTTGTACTTTGAGCTTCTAGTACTTACAAACAAGAAGTCAAAAAATGAAATGGATTAATATATAATCAAGCAATTAGTTCTTTCTTTCATTCTTCCATGGTTTCCTACATAATTCAATATAATATCTCTAATCTTAAATTTGAAATAAAATACAAGCAATTCAAATTTAGAAATAAGTTTAATTGCAAACGTAATCTTATT